AAATTTTGAATAGGAAATCGATTTGAGACTGATTTTCGGAAGGAAGAAGATTTTTAAAATCCGAGATATTAATATGATTAATACTTTTAAACGTTTTAACTAACTCGAGAAATACTTTATATGGTAATTTTTTCACGGTTAATTTATAAATAAAAAACACGTTCGTAATCTGCCTTGCAAATTTAACGAGCAGGAATTTATTGTAATTGCAACGAGTTTGAGAATTCGACCTTCGAACAATGATGGTGTCAGAAAATTCATGAACATTCCACAAATAATTATCCAGCAATTTCCTTGTTTCCATTCGTACGAAGGAAGAGAAAGTGGTATACCAAGAAAATGGCGAAAAAAATGTTTGGACTCTGTATCTTTATCTTTTTCAAAAAATTTAACGACCAACTCACTTATTTTAGTCAAAATTTTACGCGCAACCGGAAATTCTCCAATTTTTGAAAGCAAAGAAAAAATATTTGAATCAAAGTCTCGCTAGAAAATCTCAATTTTCAATCACAATTTCCAAAAGAAAGAAAGTAACCTAATTAATTATATCCTAAGCTGAATAAATTTTCCAATTTGAAAAGTTTCAATTTTTTTTACGATTCTTTTCGAAGCAGGAACGATCGAATAATCGATGATTAATTTTCCCCCATTTTTAAAGAACAATATTGAAAAAAGAAGAAGAAAATAAAAAAAATGGAACACTTGGTCAAAGTTACGCTCCGAATTGTCAGCCGGTTTGTCACCACGAGGAGAAACTGGTGCAATGCAACACGCTTCCGCGATACAATCGCTTCCCACTGTTCCTCTCCCGCGTGTAAAGAGAAAGGCCTGACACGCTCAATGATCGTAAAAGGAAAATACGAGGAATAATTACTCGCTCGTAATACTATTTCGTTTCATTCTGATACGCGTGCGTCCTCTTGCGTGCAAAACATCTATCTATCATTAAATCTCTAGCAACGCTCTCTCAACGATCGATGCAAAAAAAAAAATTCTTCCGAATCATAACATGAAATAACGTGATTTGGCCAAAAAGAACGCGAGTTGTCAATCGCGGTTGAATCGGTGGCAAAAGATCCCTCGGTTTATCGAAATATGTGGAAAGTTGTTGCATAACTGGAACTTCTTTTTTTTTTTTTATTGTTAATTATTAAAATAATTGTTATTTTTCCACTGTCGAACACCACAGGTGGAAAGTTGTCCTGTTTTTTTACCGGTATTACCGACTTTCGAATATTTTTCTTCTATCTTTTTATTATATTACATTAATTATCCACATTCGACAGTTAATTAATAGAAATATCAATTGTCATTTCGATCTATGGAAAGTGATTGCGTAACGGTATTAATATTTCTTAATATTTTTGTTTCTTTTCCTTATTTTCGCACAGTTGTCGATCGAATCGAATTGATTTATTATTTCGCAGGATAATCGACGAAGGAAAGAAAGATGCACGTGCGGAGATGCACATGGTAAAATATGAAAATGGCGCTTGGCTTTGGCTTACGAGTTTCGAAGTCGGGCTCGTTCAATGCGACGTTTTTGCTTTCCTTGTTATCACAGGACACCAATTCGCCAGAGAACAGTCCGAAAATCACCGCACAGATCATTATCCTTCGTTGCGGCAGCATCTTGGAGAATCGGTTCGACCTCGATGGAGGTCCACCAATCAAGAGATCAAAAATGAACCAAAGAAGAAATCTTTCAATTTTATTAAATTTTAAAAAAAAGTTCCGTTTAAAATATCAACAATGATAGTTTATTTAGTTTATTCTTTTTAACTCTTAAAATTTAAGTTGAATTTAAGCACTGTGTATTTATGAATTTGCACGCACTAATTCACCGTTATTTTTTTATATTCTTTTTTAAGGAGTTTTTCTTTAAATTTAAATTTTTTCTCTTCTTTTCTCTTTTGTTGCTTCGAAAACACACGAGATCGAGATGAGGAATCAAGGCAGCTAGGTGGATCGATTCTTGTAAACTAAACACGCGTTCCTTTCGTATTCTGTCTTATATGCAAGCATTCCCCTACTCTGAGGACTGCTATTCGGCCGTCGCCGATTCTTCTTTCCATTTCTCACGGGTGGAATCGATGCGCTTTGTTTTGCCACTTTGTTTGCAACTAAATCCATCCCATTATTGAAAATTTGGGGAAAATTAATTTATCAGATTCTTATTTTATTTCTTATCTCTCTTTGTACTTCTCGTGCAAATAAAATGAAAAAATATTTATTGCTCTTCTTAATTTAATTAGTATTTTTATTTATTTTATCCATGCCTTTATTTGTCATTTAAAATTTATAAAAATTTCCAGATATCACTGGATTAAAGAATTACATAATTCTTGCTCCATAATTCTTCTTTATTACAATTATAAATTCTTAATTTAAAAAAGCAAATATTCTCAGTTCACAAGTATTACTTCTTAATTTGTTTATTTAATTTATAAAAGTTCTTTTTAAAAAAAAGAGAGAGAGAGAGAGAGAGAGACTCTTCTACCCAACAAAATGGGGAAGTTTTTCGTTTCGCAACGATTCTTTCATTTCAGACCTACGCCAACACGCAACCTAATTCAGGATCACAATGATCGTTCAATTTCGCAATCGAATCCACCTGTTTAGAGGCGACATTTAATTTCCAGTGTCCATCATTGCGCAACGATCCATCGTGGTTGAACAGATAATAAGGCCCAAGAAAAGTGTCGTGCCAAATGAATAGCACGGTTTGCGCAATCGAGCTTCTTCTGCCCAATCATTGCGAGAGCTCTACATCCATCCTCTTACAACCTCTATTACTAGCGTTTTAATAACATTAATTCAACCGAAAGCCATTGTGAAATGGCTCGTTTCACGCTCCTCGCCGCGCGATTTCATTTTCGTTCCACACCATTGTTTCCCGGATTTTCATGTGTGACGAAATACCCGCTTGAGTGGCAAGCGGAGAAATAAAATCGTGTTTGTTTAAGTCCAATTAGTCTAAGCAAATATTGCCCAATGTATGTATGTTTTGCTCTTTAAAGGGGTAGCAAATTCTGAATTATAATCTTTATTTTTTTAATTTTTAAAATTTTTGTAAAAATTCGACAAAGTCCAATTCTCTAAGTAAATCTTGCCCAATGTATGTATCGATCGAAAAAATTCTGGATTACAATCTTTACTTTTTTGAATTTTTAATCAAGGCTCCTCGATGTAAAATTTTTGTAATATTCGATGATGAGAACGAAAAAAAAAAAAAAAAAAAAAAATTAAAAATAATTAAAAAACTCTCGATCAGATATCTGCAAGAAATTATTTTTAACAAGAGGAAATAAATTGGAATTTTTTTTGTAAAAATTCGATAAAGTCCGATTCTCTAAATAAATCTTATCCAATGCATATTTTACTCTTTAAAAGGATTGAGCAAATTCTAGATTGTAATCTTTATTTTCTGAAGGATTTTTCATCAAGGATCCTCGATGTAAAGTTTTTGTAAAAATTCGATAAAGTCCAATTCTCTAAGTAAATCTTACCCGATGCATATTTTGCTCTTTAAAGCGATCGAATAAATTCTAGATTGTAATCTCTTATTTTCTAAGGGATTTTTCATCAAGGATCCTCGATGTAAAATTTTTGTAAAAATTCGATGACGAAGACGAAAAAGAAAAAGAAAGAAATTAAAAATAATTAAAAAAGTCTCGATAGAATATCTGCAACAAATTATTTCTAACAAGAGGAAATAAATTGGAACGAAATCGAGGAAGAAGCTTGTTTAACGAGGGATTATTATTGGTATTATGTAAAAAGGAAAAAAAAAATTATAATTATTTTTAAACTTCCGTCAAGTGTTATTAATAGTTAATAATAGTAAGTCACGATTGCCTGTAAGTCCGTAGTGCATAGCTGGCCATGAATATGTAATGCGGTATTGTCTTTTCGAATTGGTCCTTGATAAGGATCGTGCATTGCATACAAGACAATCTACTCGGAAATGAGCGATGAAGAAAGCTGTATTTTATTTTACAATTGACCTCCCATTTCTACGGCAAATATATATATTTATTTAACGAAACGAATTGGAAGATCTAAAAATAATAAGCAATTTGTCGAGTATCATTGTCGATGATGATTTAAAAATTAATTATTATATATTTATTCGATTCGATTTAATTTTAATAAAAATAAAAATTATTAAATAAAATTATCATTTACCTTTTCATCGTCATATCCAGCCGATATTTTTTTAAAATATACTTTTTTTAAATATTCAGAATTATTAATAATAATTATTACAATAGTTTAAATATTTGTTACCAATGTATCGAATACCATCGTTTATGATTGTTGAATTGACTGTTACACGTGTGCTGATGTTTCCACCCATTCCGGTTTTAATGATTCAGCCATTTGTTTGAACACCTTGAAACTTTCAAACGTTTCACATCGTTTAAAGAAATTCCGAAAGAACGTGTCGCTGTTGCCCAATTTATAACTCATTAAAAAAAAAACGATGTGTCGACATCGATACTTGTTAAACCTTCTATTCTTATAATTTTCGTACCACTTCCTAATTCTTTGTAAATTTATACTTGAAAATAAAAAGAAAAAAAAAAAAAGAAGAAAGAACAGGTTTACAATAAGAAGAAATACAAAGAACTGAAAATATTAATTTCAAATTTGGACCAGTTTATCTACTTATCAAAAACAAGTTTGGCCATTCTTTATTTGAAAAAAAAAAATAAATTCGTTTTAAAAATTCAAAACTCTGCCCAAGAGTTAATCATGAATACGTGATTACGTTCTACTCATATTTGCCATTTCATACGACGCCTGCAATACCGTTTCACGTCTTGCACGGTTGTCTTGCGAGTTATCTTCGTCCATCCTTAAGGCGTTACATCATGGACGAAGTGTAAAACTATCTAGGTATTTCATAGAACTTGTTCCATGCTCTGAAATACCGACCTGCGAGAAAAGAGTGTCTCTTACGCCCTCTATGATTTGCTGCGAATTTCTATCACATACGTGTTGTATAATATGCACAAAGCAAAGAACGTTTCGCTGTTGAGATCGAAATTTTTAGACAAAAAAAAAAAAAAAACCTAATTTTAATATTCACTTTTCTCCATCTTAAACAAATATAAGACATACAAGATATTATATAAAATATATAATATATTGTATACAATTAATCAAGTGTATAAAATACAAAAAATTTATAAAACCTTACGAAATCATTCAACATTAGATATAATATAAACACTAACAAAAAAAAAAAAAGGAAAAATAAAAACTACTACATTACTTCTAAGGTGGTAATAACACGTTTTCCGGAAACACAGAGAAAATCGTGTTAGTGAATTTCATGATCAGCATAGCTATAGTCTCCTCTAATTTCGGCCTAATCTCGGCGATAATCGTGTTCCAATTGTCGTTTAGGAAAAGATTCATAGCGCCAGACAACATTTCGTCACCGTCGAACAAATTATCCAAGTGCACGGTCGCGTGGCCGATCTCGAAATCTACGTAAATATCGTCAACAGCCTGATGAATCGAGCCTGTTCTCTCATTCAGATACCGCTCCATCTGTATCGTGACAATTACGTCGATGTCGGTGAAGTTTCCGTGTCCGAGCCCGTTCCCCGTGATCGATAGCATCATGATTCTACCATCCATCACGTAATTCGACACCATCTCCAATCGTGGGATGAAGAGTTTCAATCGTATCACGTTTTTATCCAAGTCGAGTCTGGTGGAAAAATGATTCTCACTTTTCATTGTGTTTTATCGTCGTTGTTGAGGATTTCATTATATAATTTTTATCTAACTATAAATCTTGCTCTCGATGAAAATTTATTTTTTTAATTGTGCGGGAAAAATTGAATTTTTCTTTCTTTTTTTTTTTTTATCAAGAGAATGTGAATAATACGTGAATAATTCGACATAAAAAAGTAAAAAGAAATATTTGCAATGCAAGAAAGAATCTACCTGATACTTTTAGGTACGAAATTAGTTCCTCCAAATATGGATACGTTGTTGTAGATCGCCCGGATGTATATCGGGCCGGAAGATTGATCGATCTCGATCTCGTCTAAGTGGAGTGGTTCACACGTTGGTATTCCAAGGGCTGGTATACCTTTTCTTAGATACGGTTTCAAGGAGTTGACACTCTGCTTTATACAGTCGCTAAGATACGGATCGCTTTGATGGCATATCTTCAAGAACGAGGCTAAGGAAAGTGAATGAAAATACATCGATTAATTTATTTTGGATGAGAAGATCGTGTAAAAGATTTTTCCAAACGTTATGTTGTTAAAATTTAACAATCCTGTGAATTATACATATTGGAGAAGAATAATTTGAATCGCATACAATTAGGTATAAAAATTCATCGGTTAATTTTTTCGTTGTAAATAAAAAAAAAAAAAATAAATCCGAAACATCATGTTTCTCTCTATCATTAACCTTGTCCAGAATTCAAGTTAGACCTCGATTCTTTCCACATGATTTTCTCTACGATTCATCGTCGATTAAAATGCAAGTGTTCCAGATGCGGTATTAACACCTATATACCGGGTGTATATTTTCAAATTTATTCGAATACGAATAAAGATATTAAAATAAAAATATTATTTTAAAAATATATATATAAAATAATTATATATATATATATATTTTTTTTTATTATAACCATGAACTACTTACGTATTTCTGGGATAGATGATGGAATGGCGATGGACAAGCAACTCGTCGCGAAAAATATGACGAATGGGGCGTGGAGGAGCATCGTTGTTGCCACGGCGAGGTTCGATCGCGAAATAATTCCGCGTGGCGTCGAAAATCATGGAACGTGGCATCGATTAGCAATTTCGCTGACACCTCCGTTTCTATTGCATTCCCAGTTCCTTTTACGCAATTCAACGTTCCAATAAATTGTCTCGTATCAATTTTTATTGCACCTTCGTGCCGATCGAATCCCCTTGCAAATTAAACTCGATCGCTCGACGAATAACCGACGACTGTTTTTAATGATACACAAATTGTTTCTTATATATCGTGACTGGGAAACAATGATTACGTATTCAAAATTTCATTCGAAATTTAATTAAATCATAGCCATATGAATTTTATTTATTATTATTATTACGAAAAAAACCATAACCAAGTTTGACTATTTAAAAATCCAAATCGAATAAGAAATCAATAAACGAACGAAGCTTCAAACGAATGCCACGCATCATCCCCAAGAGTGCCAAAGAGCGAACCTATTAAGCACAAAAAAAAAAAAAGGAAAAGACACCATACCGCGTACGTACATTTAAGAGCAAGGTGAATTGCGCAACATGGATCGAACATAGCTTCGATAGCTATTTGCGGTCTCCTCTGACCCACCATCACGATCCGCCATTACGTCTTCCACTTAAGGTCGGGGAAGGACCTTGCCCTCTATACTCTCCTCGCAACGGGAGTAAAACAAGCAAGACGTTGGGGGAGTTGTTGGAGGGAAAAGGAGAGGAGAGAAGAATCTAGCCTAGCTGGAAGGATCGTCCACTTAAACGAGAACAAGAATGAGAAGATTGGTCCATGGCCCAGATCTGCCGGACGCCCTTCCACGACGCGATATAAAAAGGTGGCGCGGGTGCATCGTCGACTCGTTTTTGCACGAGGATACACGAGGGGGAAGCAAGGTGTGTCGTGGAGGGTATGGTTAAGAAGTAGTCGATGGTGGATTGATCGAAGAGCTGGAGGAGACACGAATCGTCGTCGGCCCAGGAGTGTTGATGTGCACTACCCTCCTCTGCTTTCTTCTCGTCTTCATCGTGGTAGCCGTTATCGTCCTCTTGGTGCTCAAGCCTGATCACATTTGGGAGATCAAGGCTGAGGAATAAAAGATTCTAGAAGAAAAGTGTATCGAGAAGGAAGTGATTCAAAAACAAAAGGTTTTCAATCCTTTTGAAAATAATTCCCAGGGTACTGAAGTGTCGAGGAAATTGGTTCTGGGGGGAGGAAAGGGATAAAGATTTTTCTAAAAACTAAAAAGACACAACGAAGATGAAGACTCTCTCTCTAATATTCCTGGCTCTAACTTTAACGAGCTTGGCAAACTGTCAGGGAACCCTGTTAGAAATGTCTCAGCAGTTGTGGGCCAAGCTTCTGTCGGGCGGATTCTCGAAAGCTGGGCGGCTGGATCCACTGAAGGTTCCTATGATCAAGGTGGATCAATCGGAAGGGAACACCAGTTACAGGATTATTCTTCGCAACGTGGAGATCACCGGGCTGAACGAGTCCACTCTGGACAGCGTCCACATAGCCCGGGGCCGATTGAGATCGAACCTGAGCGAGCTGGAGGCCGGTTACGTGAGCTACAGCGACCTCAGAGACTTGGACTCCATCAGATACAGGTTCCACACGTTGATCAAGGAGCCGAAGGGGCAAAACGAGAGCTTCGAGGCGATAGTGTCTGCCACCGATCAACGGATAAATAAATTCGCGAACGGGCCGAGGGAGGAGGAGAGCCGTTTCGAGAGACTGAGAATGTACGACCCCTTCTTGATGAAGATCCAAGCGGAGAAAATGAGGGCCACCGATCGCCCCTCCAACGAGCCGCGCAAATCGCGCCAAAACCAGTCGCCTGCCGGTTCCTTCAACATGGAGGGCGCCAAAGTCTTGTCCAGGTCTGAGACCACTCGTATCATCGAGAACCTGAGGTATCCTTCCGACGTGCAGATGATTTACGCGATGAGCGCGATCAACTCGAGCCCGAGAAGGAGCAGCCAGGAGGCCCAAGGAGGCAGGTCTGGTTCTTATATAGAGAGGAGGGAAAACGAGGGAAGAGAGGATCAGGGAAGGGAGAAGAGCGGGAGAAGGGATCGTTACGGGGATGATGTGGAGACTATGGCGTCAGAGAATGTGGAGAGAGTGGTGAAGGGTGAGAGGTTCGTCCCTGGACAGATAGGCAGGGAGCGTCAATCGAGGATAAGGCTGGAGGATAAACCTGGCTACATCGATATCGTCTACGCGGATGGGGGCCGTGATGGCGGCGTGAAACGTTTTGGAAACGGGAGAATAGAGTCTAAGGAGGATGCCAGAGTGTTTGGCGTGAAGGGTGACGCGAAGGTACGAATTTTTTTATATAAAAAAAAGGAAGAATATAGAAACGAATTCTTGGGAATTTTCTAAATAAATAATTCGAATGTTTCAAACCTGAAAAGCTTCTACCTTACGTAATTGCATAAATATCCACCGTTACTTAAGCATCTCCCTCTCCTCTTAGGAAATTCGTCTTATAACCTAACCGATTCACGTAAGACGGTTTACTTATATAAACAGGATATCCTGGAGAATAAACGGGTTATCAGTCGCAACTGTACCGAGGGGGAGTCGTTGACGAAGAGGAACGACGCCGTTAAGGCGGCCATAGAGGCGAAGAGGTTGGACGGATTGTCGAGATACGCGAGAGAGTATCAGGAGAAGCAAGGATACTTCGAGGAAGCTATGCAGTTGGTTTATCATTATGGTGGGATGGATGCTAAGAATCCTGAGGAGCAGAAAATTAGCCAAGGGAGGAGACGCAAACGTGCTCATGGAGGGAACGACACCGATGTGAGCAATCGTCCCTTCTTTTTCCTTAAATTATTTTTGTTCTCGATGATTCTCCTCTTTTTTTATATTTTCTTCTTTTCTTCCTATTTATTCGATCGAGATCTCTGCGATTCCTCCATGAATATTTTTTTTTTTTATCTATTTTCAAGGATGATGTGATGCACGTTATCGTGAAGATCAGGGTTCCACTGCTTCGCGTGAAATCGGATTACCAACTGATGGGCAAGGTTGGACAGGAGTTGGTAAGAGGAAGAGGACAGTTCAATGGCAATTTCTGTAAGTATATTCACAGCTGTAAAAATGTATGAAATTGATATTTTGTTACATTAGGAAGAGTATTAATCGAATGTATTACACTTGTCGTTATTTGCAGCTGATGTGGTTGGTGATTTCACTATCGAATTGAAGAAAACCAAAGGGCAGGACGAGTTGATTGTTCGAGCAGCGAGGAGCAAATTAAACGCCACGAAGCAGAATGTTTCTCTTCAGGGGATGGATGAAGAGGGGCCGGTGAAGTCGATTCTCAGCAATGGTGAGTTTTATGTAAATTAAATCGTTAAAAAAATGATCGAGATCTTTGATAATTGTGCGAGCAAAACATTTTATATAATTCGATCAATTTATACGTTAGATGTAATTGGTATTATTCGATTCGTAGCAATGAATCTTTTATCGGATTAAAAAAAAAGAACCGAGTCAATGGGGAAATGTATAAAAAGTTAATCGTCGATGTTCGACAACAAAGCCAGTTCGACATTATATAAAAACCTCTTTCATCTGTAGATGTTGTTGCGTCACGAAACCGGTATTCTTCCACAATTATGAGACGAGGGAAACGTCGAAGAAAAGTTTTAATTCTATGGAGAAAAGCGGATGTCAATAAAGCTAAAGTATGACGAAGAAACTATAGTAATCTGAAAATTTCTGATTGTCTTTCCGTTTATGCATAATTTAGAAGATTTAAGAATTTAAGAAGAATCGGATTTCTGAACATTTTTATTCCATTTCAAAGAACGAGCTTTCGTTCTTTAATTATTCTAGCGAAAGAAAAGTTATGCGAACGATCTTAAATTTATCACATAATTTTATACGTCTAAGCAGGTTTAAATTAGATTGAAAATTTTCGTTCGATGAAAATATGAATATGATACAAGAGGTACGATTATTTAATAATTAATAACGCATTGTTCAAAGTGCAACGATTGATATGTAAGATGTGATTATGAGTATCGACGACCGGATGAAAGCCTCGCGTTTAAATACGTGTTGAGCATGCGTGCAATTACATAAAAGGTAAGACTCGAAAGAAAAACGCTTCCTTTTAAAAGTAGAGATGTGTGTAAACATAAGAGCTTATCAGCTTCGTTCCCTTTTCGCTTTCTTAAAAAATATTCTAATTTTTCAAAATTCTTCCACCGCCGAATCGCCAAACTTTTGGAACATCTCAAATTTTTCAACCGAATTTTCGAATTAATTAATTCTCGAAATTTAAAATTCCCCAACTGTATCAAACCTTCGAGTTCGAAGAGTGCAAAATTCGTGCAAAAATATTACGTATCGTCTTTCAAAAACGATTCAAATATCCAATTTCACGATTTAAATCGAGCTTAATTTGTTCGTGTATCTAAAGTATTCTATTCTCATCGAACGTTTTAGAAAACAATAGAAGAAAGTAAAAGTAGCGGTAAGAGTGTATTGACATCGATCGAACGAAGTAAAAGTCCGCTTTCAGACGCTTTTAACGCATCCTATCAATAATGTCCAGCGTATTAACTCGCTTAATAATAGATTCACGATTGACTTTCGTTCACAGGCTTGATGGCTGCGGAGGCGGTGGCCGCCATGCTTGCGGATGACCTGGCCACCAAGGCCCTGAACGACAAAACGGCGGATGCGATGATTTACAAAATGTACAAAAACCTTCCGGTCAATTAAATCGGTGTCGAGGACAGTTGGGCTTTAACCGTTTTGACAGATTTATATTGTGTAATACGGTGGTGGTCGAAGAGAATTCTTTCGTTCGAAGAGAATGGAGTTTCGTTGAAAATGAAAGAGGGGAAATTTTAAAGGAGGAATTAAATTAGGATTTTTTTAAAATGGCTTTTTTTTTTATATATTTTGAAATTGAAAAAGATGAAATTTTTTAGCACTGTATAAAAATTTTTAACGATTACAATGTTTCTTCTGTTGAAGGTAGAAAGAATAAGGTAAGGTGTCATCTTAAGAAATGGAGTTATATCAGGTATAATATTTCTTATGGCATATTTCTTTGAATAGTCTTTTAGATTATCTTTTTCATTAATCAATAATTGCATGATTCTACATAATTATTTATTTCTATTTATTTACTGGCGTATATGACTCAACAAAGAGTTATTAACTGATTAACTTGTTTACTAAGTTGATATTATATTTAGTTTTAACTTGTGCAGTATATCACATTACATATATAGAATTTCATACGTATATTTATTACACACATGTTTTACATTGTATACGCTTAAAAATTATTTTTAATAGTAGATAAGTTAAAATAGTTCAATTTTTAGAATTCTAAAGAATTCATTCATCGATGCATAAATGCAAATTATCAAATGTACAACTAAAGATCAACATAATACTTAATAAATTGTTGTAAAAATACGTCTATTTAATCACAAAATCAATTACATTTATTTAAAGGAAATGGTAAATTTAAAAATTATTTTTCTGCGAAAAGAGAAAAAAATAAAATTCTAAAAGTATATCTACAAATAATTTTAAAATATAATTATTATACAAATATAAAGAATTATAAAAAAATTTAATTGTAAAAATTATTGCAAAAATTCTGAAGTAAAAAAAAAATTAACAAAAAAAAGTCTCTTGAAGAATCAAAAAGAAAAGAAAAAAAATTCTAAATTAATTTTCTCACAATGAAAAGAATCAATTAATGAAAAGAATTTTTCTAATTACTAAAAAAAAAAAAAAATTTCCAATTTAATGTTTTCCAAAAAATCACAATTTTTCACTCAAAAATACAAACCAATATAAAATTATGAATTAATTGTCGTTTCGTGACCTTTGCTCACACCGGAAACTCGTTCATGTATCTAAGTTCATATATCACGTTTCCCAGATTGTGTCAGCCAATTCTCAAACGAGTTTCCAAATGTTACGTGTATTTATACCATTCACAGCGCCACTAAGAAACCAGTTGGGATTCAATTTTACATAATCTTGTTTGGAAAATTCATCGAGTTGCAACAACATTGGCTGGCTTGGGGAAAGTAGTTGTGGAAAAATTTCACGTGAGGAAGAGATTTTTTTTTCTTTTATTTTTCCCGTGGAATTTAAATTTGACTTCTCGATTTCTAGACTCTGAATGAAACGAATCGATTTCGATTTGTTGGAATTAATGGTTAAGAATATGAGACATTAACATTAATGTTGGGCATGTTAAAATATTATAATTGTAGAGCATTAAAATATTAATGTCAAATTAAATATTATTGCAAGTAAAATACAATAGATGGTAAACTATGGAAATGTATAATAACTCGACCAAAACTAGTTGTTTTTAGTTTGTTTTAGATTAAAAATAAAGTTGAAAGTGAAAGGATTAATAGAACTAATGTAATTATTTAATATTTATGTAATATTTAATCTATATTGTGTATGTAATATTAATAGATTTAACAAAATAAGAAGGAGAGGAATATTCAGAAATATTTTTAACACAGTCTGATTTAAGAATGATTTTATTCAAGAAAAATGAACAAACTAACACTATGTATACGAATGTAAGAAAAATATTATAAAATATCGAAAATTTAAGATGTTGAAATAAAGAGATTGATCTGGAAAATAAGTTTCTTTATTAATGGTAATATGTAATGGTAAATCGTTTAATTCTAATCAATTTTAATTACACATTCTTAATAAAGGATTAAAATTTCTAATATTAATTTTACTTTGAACCCTTCGTCTATCAGTCTACTAAATTTCCACCAAAAGTTCCAGAAAAGAGAACATTTCTCAAACAATTCTTATTCCCTAATCAGAAACACGATTCACTTACGACACTTGATAAGCGTCAAAACAGAAAAAATCAATTAACATTTTTCCGCTTAAAACTTTCCGTAAAATCGTTAAAATGATTCACTCGATATTTGGCGACCCAAAAAGCTGAACACGATCGATTACAAAATCGTAGCAATTTTTGTTCTGTCCAATCGAGATTTCTTATTCTTATACATAAAGATAAGGCTAACGATTGTTTGCATGAACCATAATTTTTTTTTATCTGTGCTCTTTCGAAATCTCGGTTTATTGCGGGAAATATTATGTGGAATTTGCGACAAGGACGAGTGGCCTGTTAGATTAATGACGATTCATCGCGAGATGAATCATTATCGCGATCCTCGGACAGTGGCGAGAGAAATTACGAGGATGTCGTTAAAGAAGGCTATAATTGAAGAAATTACCCGATGAGAAAAATATTTTAGCTGGGATTGAATATGTAGGTAGGCGGAGAGAAATGAAATCTTCGTTTTGTTTGATGGATTATTGTGAATTTCTAAATTTTTCCTTTCTTTTCTTTTTTTTTTTTTTTCTTTGATTACGTTTAAATGTGTTTTATTATAAATTGGAGAAAATTAATTTTTTTTTTTTTTTTAGATTCTCTTTCTAGAAAGAGAAATTTAATTTTTTAAACATTAATATGGAGATAACGTAAGAATGTTAATAATAAATCGTAATAAAAATTCTTCTGAGAATTTAATAATAATATTTTTATAGAAATTTAATTTTTCTATGTTTTATTTATGTTTAAATCATATGTTTTATTTGTTTGAATAAGATTTATGTAAGTTTGAACAATCTTATTATACAAAATGCTATTATATAAATACAGAATCGATTTATTTAGAAATTTACATTCTAAATATGACAAGTCTTTCAAATAAGTAATAGTTCCCACTTTCCAATGGAGGCCACAGGATATATTGTGACAATTGTGCAATCCCTATAAATTATATAATTCGATCGATACACTTAATTGGTTTTTTATAAATCGAACGAATAAAAGAAAAATATCCTGCCATATTTGAAGTGAAAATAATTATCCAAAATACCCAAGTATCTTAAAATACTTCGAGAAAACACCTTGAAAACAATTAAGACAATCTTAACAATCAAAATAATCAAAATACCTAAACACTTAAATTACCCCTGAATAGAAAACCCAAAGCATCCTCTCTCTCAAACTATCCAAACTCGAAACCTTTAAACCTTTAAAAATCCAAAAATTATCCTCATATAACAAATACAAATACAAACGCAATACCACGAATCTGCATCCTCTCTTTCAAACCTCTCCCTCAAAGTTCGATAAATCCCTATCCCGATGCGTCCGATTTCTTCAAAAATTTCCTCCATTTAGAGCCAATCCTGACCTAACTCCGCGGGTTATCGCGGAATTCCATCGCGATGCAAAAACGGGTACACGCGGTACGGCCCTGACTGAGTTAAAAGGAGGCATTCTACCGTGATAAATTTTACCATAGCGGCGAGTGGGGCGGCTCTGCTCACTCGGAGAGAGTGGCGTTAGTTCATATATACCGTGGTGCGCGGGCCATCGCACGCATTTTCGATACCGCCGTTGCCAATTTCCATTCCTCCCAACGGTACAACGTTGATCACGTGTCCTCCTCGCACTTTCTCGCAGGATGTCGTCTCTAATCGGGCTCGCCCTCATCGCCGCCTCGATCATCGGGCCCGCCTTCGCCGAACTGCGTGAGTACCCTCATTTTCAACGAACCAGACGTATACGATAATTTTTCCTGCTTTTCATCCGGATGCGTTGCGTTGTATTGGATTTTTCTTCTTCTTCTTTTTTTTTTAAGTGGGTTAAGAGGATTAATTGTTGTTTTAATTAAGTTAAGCGTAAGTGGTAGTAGTAGTTGTTTCATTTTTTTCAGGATTTTCAACTTTTCTTCAGATATTTGTATATATGTTCGTTGGAATTTTTTCTCTTCCTTTTTTTTTTAGAAAGAGGATGAGGGGTTGAATCGTTGTTAAGTTTGCGCAGTGTTCCTTTTTTCCTCGGGATTTTCAACTTTGATACTTCTGTAGAGATTTGTTCCTTTTGAAAGGATAGAGAGAAGATTAGATGAGATGATTTGTAGGATCCTTTGTTTCTTAATAATTTGTAGAATGGATGGGATGAAGAGTTTTCTCTCTCTTTCTCACGGTGAAAATAATACTGTTCAATTTCGTAAGATCTTCTCGTAGTTTCAAGATATAATCTTTGAATATAATGCACAATTAATTTTGTTGAAGAAAGTATTGATTCGTAGAAGGAAGATCGAAGATTTCTAAATATTTCTTGTATTATTCTGAAATAAGAAATAATCAATTTAGCTTTTGTTGATGATAAAAAAAGAAGAAAAAAAGGTGCAAGAAAAATTGTTTGAAAAATTTATAGATCAAAGAACTTTCGATTTCGCGTAAGCTTGACACTTTAGAAGTGTTTCACATTGTATAAAATGTGACGCAATGAACGTATCGAGAGGTTTCAAGAGTCGTTTTTGAGGTGAATGGAATCGATCCATTTCCATAAGGAAAGGGAATGGAATCGAGCTCCTATTAAAATTCGTTTACGTTACGTTTGAATTAATATATTTTTATTCGTCTATTGGTTAATAAATTAAAAAAAAATCACTTGCTAGAATTAAGAAATAATGATTTATCAAATTGCATATAAATCAATTTCTTCAACAAATGATACACGATTTAAATAGGAGAAAGAATAATGACGAAACAAATATCGAGACAACTATCCCTCGATTCGATTTCGTAATGGCGTTACGTAAAAAAACAAAAATCAATTATGTAAATCGATCGAAGAAAAAAAGGATTGAAACATTGATCCTTAATAAGTTAAATCGAATCTCAGGTGCTATAACCTGATACTTTACTGACATCCTGTCATATTGGGTCTCTTAGAAGATTTCGACAAATATATATATGGCTCTCACGAAGAAAGAATATCCCAATTTTTCGTACGTAATTCAACATAATTATATAATAAAATATAAATCCACTTCATCCTTTAAATATTATTATTATTATTATTATTATTATTATTAACAAAGAAAATATTAAGTTACAAAAAGAATTGAGTCTGCATGCCACTTGCATTCCGTAAATATTTACATATAAACTTTCCACAAATTCCATACATTCTTCTACTCTCCAAATCATTATCATCTCTCAACAACGCTTCGACTTCCAATTCTCTCCAATTGTCTTCATCGGTCAATCCTTAAAAATTTCGATTAAGAACAACTTGTAACTATCGATCGTCCTCGAATCGGTCCATTTTTGATCCATCGATCATAGCCTGGATCCTTTCTCGAACAGATGTGCTCCCTTCTCGATGATCCCCGAGAATTCACCTTTACAGTGGCAGAAAAAGCGAGCGTGATTTCACTTTCTATCGAGCGTGTATCCACTTTCGATTTTAAACCTGGCCTCCAAGCCAGAAAAAAAACCGCTCCACCGTGACTCCTTAATCATCATCGTTTGTCGTTCAATGACCCGAACTCTTCGATCTGGTACGTTGATCTCTCGTTCGCCGTTGATTTCCGTTTCGCCATTTTTATCCTCATTTAGCCAACTTTTTACTCGTAAAAAATTTATAAAAAGTCACGAATATCGAGAGAATATAATTTCGATTAATTTTTACACGAAATTAAATTTTCGATGATAAATTTCTGGAAATTGAATTTGATATATATGCAGATATAAGCAAAAGAGAGAAGTAGAAATTATGGTACAAAGAAGTATGGAGAATTACGAAGAGAGGGAAATATAAAAAAAAAATGTAGTGTCCAAATTAGTTTATCGAATAATTTACATTGAATTTAAAAAAAAATATTACGACTTAATAATACAATAATTACTGTAATTACAGAGTACGATAAAGCAAACGTGAAAAAACGATAGAAAGGTTAATCCGTTTCGTTAGATATTTAACTACTCGTTTAAGCGTAGGAAAGCGGGTCATTCAAATTGCTGAAACCGAGTGCAGCTAAAATAATTATAGGTTTTAACAAACGCGCGAGCAGTGTGGTTTTCACCGGCCGGATCGAAACGCCACAGGACCTCTTTCGCAAGGTAGAAGTTTTCGCTAATAAGGGAACTTTGGTAACTCGAAAATTCCAATCTTTTAGAAACTTTGCCAATTTTGTTTCGGGAGAAACCTCGATACTTCCCGTTTCTGTTCCATTTCAATCATTATTATTCGCATACAAATATATCAATTTTTCTCTTCACAAACGTTCCACCCATATTTGGGTGACGTCTTCTTGTTCAAGAAAAATAAAAATTAACCCTTTGCACTCGTATTTATATTTAAGAAGGTTGCCAATCAAGTAACAGAGGGTCCCTTAGAATGTAATTATATTATACATATATTTGCTAATGCAAATAAGCAACAATATTGCGGCGACGTACAAAGGATTAAAGCGAAATTTTAAAAGAAATTTAATGAAACAAACATCGAAATATAAAATATACATTCGAGTCACAGAATTTGCAAATTTTAAGAACAATAGAAAGAGGGGCAAGTATGATCTGTTAGCGAACCACTCTGCATCTTTGTACAATTTTAAATTTATAATTATACCGTATGTGGTAACACAGGAAGATATTGTTACAGAACAATTAAAGGCCAATATTCAGACCAGAAAGCTTAACATCGACTTTGAAAAGTTTTCGAACGATCGAAACGAACGAAGTAGAGGCATTGGGAACAACTGATTCGATATTCCAGATGATCAATAAAAGAACTGATATATACAAATACACCCGAACAAAATTTTAAAATAAAAATATTAAAACTTCGCCAACATTTGGGCCCCGTGAGAAACTCAAAACTGGGCGACGAACGAATGTGTTAATATTAATTTTTCTTTAAAAATCTCTGGTAAAAAGGATCTTTTCTTCCTTCTCCAGCGCCTGGTGTACGGTCGTGTCCACGATCGACCGACTTGATACAATACAACGTGTGCGTGCTCCAACAATTGAACGCCATAACGCCTTACCTCGCGAACGGGATCCCCTCGTTGAAGCTGCCCGCCCTCGATCCGCTCTTCCTCCCCTCGTTGACCGTGGACAGGAACCTGGAGACGTTGAAGATCAAGGCGAACATGAGCCAGATCCGCGTTTACGGGGCGACGAATTTCGCGATCGACGATTTGAAGGCGAACCCGAACGACCTGTCGGTGAGCATCAAGGTTCGGCTGCCGCACGTGCACATAAACGGGAACTACGACGTGCAGGGAAGATTGCTGTTGCTCCCGTTGAACGGGGCCGGTAAATTCAGAGGGAATTTCAGTGAGTGAGATTTCTTATCTCTATTGAAATAAAGATTTCCTCTAACTCGATTCCTCATCTCCGAGCGCAGCCGAGACGAAGGTGGACGTGCAGGCACAGGGCAAGGAAGTGACGGACGCGAAGGGGGTGCAGAAGATCGAGATCGACAAGTTGGTGACGAAAATTCGGGTTGAAAATGGGAACATCGAGCTGAAGGCTCCTCCCAACCACAGTGCAGCTGGTAAGTCGATTTTTTTATCTCTTCTGATTCGAATTCTTCTACAGTTTCGTGATCTTTCTTTCTTAAAAAGTTCAACAACAATTGTTCGCTTGTTGGAGGGAATAGCTTTTCCCTCCAATTACGGTCCAATCCTTTACGTTCTCGCTCTTCTCTCCATCGAATTTCTTCGTTTCCAGCCGAAGCTGCAGCAACGTTCTTCAACTCGAATCCACGATTAGTCTTGGACATAGCCAGTCCGATTATCGAGGACACGGCGGCGACTGTGAGCAGAGCATTGGTCGCGAGAGCGTTGAGCGTTCTCACGAAACAAGAGTTGCTTCCCTAGTCCCTAGTTAGATTAAGAGGCGATAATTGAGCTCGACACGTTTCGTTAATCGGGATAATGAATTATTTATTACGCGTGCAATAATATGATGTTTCACGTGAAATATTGTACGTAATTGAATAGCGGATTAGAAATGATTAGAAAGATTTTTCGTGTTGAAAAAAAATTAAGGAATAATTAAACTTTGTACTCGATGTTAATAGATCGATAGTTAGAAATAGAAAAGAAAGAAAGAAAGAAATTGAACGGGGAACGTGTTGAAGAGAAGAGAATTTTCTTGTTCGATTTTTCTCGTACTTATAAGTAATTAAGTAGTTTCGATACGTGGTATACATTATTGAAATTCTAGTGTGATCGATTATCTGTTAGAATAGTATTATAAAAACGATATAAATTAAAAATGGATAGATAATTCTCGCTTTAGTTAATTTTATTCTTGTGCAATCGTATTAATTTTTTTAATTAACATAGTATTCTCAAATTAATTTTTTCACTATTCACTATTATTATTTTCCATTCCATTCTTATATATATATATATATGTCGTGGAAAAAAGATGTTTTTTATTGTGATTGCAAATTGTTTCCATTTAAAGCTATTGAAAAAGAAAAATCCAGTGATTGACGATAATTATTCATCTATTTTTTACACGAAACAAAATGTGATTTTAAAAGCTAGAAAATACAAATAGAAATTGTATTTGTAAATTTGTCATTTGATTATATTCCAATCATCTTGTTTAATAATAGATTTAATTATAAGTTGAATAAATGCTTCGATAAATCTCATTTCGTTTTTATTATAACATTACATAGAAATGTACTACTTTTTATACTACTTTTTATACTATATTCAAAACACCAAAATTCTACGAATAATTCTACGAACTTTGAAATGTACAAAATATATTGTACATTTATAATTTTCTCTCTCTATACACACACATATAATTATAAAATTAACAAATTGCAAAAATTGTCTTTACAAATTTACGTACATAATTTAAAAACTTGTTCTTCGATTACACAAAATTTTCGTAATGCGTACGGAATTGTATGTTAATTATATTAAGAGAAAATTTTTAATTAGAAAAATGCAACTGTACAAATTTTTACAAGACAAAGTAAACGAATGAAGTCTCGATGGAAGATTCAATCATCCGGAAACAGTTCTTTGTACGTGAAAGATTTTGTAATCTTGTTGGCCACGTTCGTGAAAAGATCCGCCAAGGATGTCTCCAACACTGGAGTGATCTCGTCCAAGAACAACGCGTTGTTGTTGTTCAACAGATCATGGGTGGCTGCAGCTTAAAAAAAAAAAAAGAAGAAATAGAACGAACAAAATTATACATTATTACCTAAAATCTCTTGATCCAGTTTCAATCATTGATCATCATTTTATTGAGAATCTGAAAATTTAATTAAAAAAAAAAAAAGAAAAAGAGGATCATTCGAAGAATTATAATTAACTTACAGAGAACAGTGTCACCGCCGAACAAATTGCTAAGATGCAAGTGCGCTTTGCCAATCCTGATCTTCACTTTCATTCTTTCAAAGTTGAGGTAGATATCATTGTCTCTGTACACTTTGTGCGCCCGTAAAACGACGTCCGAATCGTAATTGGCTTGAAAAATTAAAATATTCATTAGGAAATAAAAGATAGGAAATAAAAGTGTTCGATCAAGGTGTAGTAGAGAAAGAAAAAGAAAAAGGAGAAGGAAGACTTTTTTTATCTATTTACTAAAGGTTCCAGTGATGTTCCCCTCCCCCGTCAGCTTGAGCAAAAGCACCCTCGCGTCGATCTGATACTTCCCTTGGAAATACAGTTTCTCAAAGTTGACCTTGAAGGTGAACACCACGTTCTCGACATCCGCTTTGAGATCTCGAACTTTGAAGGTGGATGGGCCGGACACCTAAAAAAAAAAAAAAAAATAAAACGAGAAAATATCATCTCATTCATTGTTCCAAATTTTTCCAAGAAAAAAACTTGTTGTAACGCGATCTTTTTTTATCAATCCTTTTATTAGTTCCTCCTTTTAATATTTAAGAAGAATCCTTTGGAAACTGATCGAGACTAATATCGATTTTATCATTCTTTCTCGTGTATTTCGTGTAACACTCGTTTCGCTACTATCTTTTCAATCAAATCAAATAAAAAAAGAGTGTAATGTCGATGTCGGACAAATTTACCTGCAAATCCGTGAGATTGACGTCGAGTCTGGCTCCAACCGGTCCCCTGGACAGGCGAATTTGCTTGAGGTAGAGAGGCTCGATGGGTGGCGCCTCGAATTCCGGTATCCCGGCTGATAATTTGTCGCGAAGCTGATCGATCGATCTGGTGATACACTCGTTTATGTCCGGATCCCTCTTCTTGCACGGTTTTATGTACGATGCTGCGCCATTTGAATTGTTGAATCGATTTTAATTATCCAATTATCCGTTTCTTGGTCGTTGGTCGCAAAAAGGATTGGAAGTGGAAAAGGGAGAATTCGAGAGATGGATTTGGAGGAAGAACGAAATTAGGGAATCTTAAAAGAAATCGGAAAATAATGATGAATTTTGTTGAAGTTAATGCTATTTTAAACGATGAATGTTCATTAAGTTTTATGGTAAATTAGCTTTGTAAAACTGCTACTTAATGATTCGTTTTTGTGGAAATTTTCTTGATTTACGAAGCATGAAGATAATCATAAACTACATCATATGAGGTTAAAAGAAGTGGAAGAAACACAATTTTGATTGATATTATTCTCGTATTTTTAATTTCGAAGATAATAGATATTTCAACTATTCGGAATTTGATTATTTTTTTTGGAATATTTACATTATTTGCAGTTCGAATTTTCACGAATTCGCCAAATTCGATCTATCGAAAAAATAGTGCATCGGATTGACGAATTCGATTGCATCGAACGAGTTTAAGGTCGCCTGTTGAAAACCGAAAGTGGCACGATACAATGTCGAAACCCGTTTAAAATGCACGGGTCATACTTCTATTTTTCTCGAAGAATCGCTAGTAAACCGAAATTTTGCAATCGATTCTCAAAAGTCTCAAAGTCTTCTCACGAAGACTTTTCTCTGTTGAAAACAAACTCTTAAGAGATTGATTCATTTGGCCGGCGTCAAAAATTAGTCGTGCTTGTAATTTGTAAAGCGTAACAAATTTGAAACGAATAGAAACAAATGGTTTGATGCTTTGCTAAAAATAAAAGTAATCTATTTCAAGATTATTCGTGAAAAATTTTGTTACAAAAAAAAAAAGTGGATCACAATTTGTAATCTGTTACAATCTTATTGCCATTTACCATTCAAATATAGAAAATGTATAAAGATATAATAATTTGTAATGTCAATATAGAGATCCTGCTGTTTTTTTAGATAAAATCGATTAAAGATGATGATATTATAAAGAAATACTTACGTAAAACGGCAAAGACTGCAGGAATTAGAAGTGCCATTAGGCTAGAAAAAAAAGAAAATGTAGAAAAACATCACTTGATCGTATTATTAAGTTTGATTGTAGAAAGAAAAGATATAAAATAATTTTAGCCTTGATCTATCTTAATTACATTTACATTTGACAACGAGGAACGATAAAACAACAATTTTTTTTTCTTGTAAATTTTTAAATTTAATAATCTTTGCTTATGTATTTATTATAAAAAAATCATTTTCCATTTTATGAACGATATTATTGATCGAGGGAAGAAAAATCTTAAGATCTAAATATCGTTATATAATGTAAAACAAAATATATTTTGTTTAAATATTATCAAAATTTGATCTTAATAATGAAGAATAATTGCACGCTTGTGTATTAACGTTTAATAAGAAATTCCGCATTTGAATCGGTTGATTATACGATGTATATTTAAGTGCATGTTTTTAAATAAAAAAGTATTCATTTGAAAAAATTAATCAAGGTTATATATATATATTACTAAGACTTGTTCTTAATGTATGAATAATTTGAAAAATATTCTTATAATTATCACGATTAATCAAATAATGTTGTTATGTTGAAAATAGAATTAAAAGAGAATATTAAATATTAAAAGGATTGTTAAGAATAATTGATCATGATCAATTTTTTTTTGTATAGATTCCGTGTAATATGATAATTTATGATGCATTGTTTAATTTTTTATCGATTTAGATAAATTAAAATTAAATTTAGTAATAAATGAAATGTAGCATCATTACATCACTATTGCACATTTCTAAACCACAAGCATACTCGATCCGCGGTTTCTTGAAATCATCATTTCTTCCGTGTATTTTGTATGTTTGTAAATTCATGCTACTTTTGTTTCTGCACAATATCTCTGGACAAGTGACGTTCGTTGATACTTGAAATATTTAGAAAACTACCGTCAACTTATATACAGAAAATCTATCCTCTTTTCCATATTTAAACTACCCTGTCAACGCAACAAGAAAAATAAACCTTTCTTTTCAACGCTTTAAATATTTAACTTAGAAATTTGTACACAATTGTTAAATCAATTCTAGAGAGCAAAAGTGATATGAAACTATTTTACCTTCATTTCTCGTATTAATCTAACTCAAATTTCCATTGCTCACAATTCAACAAATGCATACTTCCCTCTTTAAATACATCAAACATCAAGAAAATTCAATTCACTCGCACAAACACCACATTTTCCACCTTCTCTCAGCTTGAACCGCACAACGATATTAATATAATTGATATTAATAAACGATGTACTCGCAGGACGGACTCGAGAGGAGAAAGAGAAAATGGCTCGTACCAAACTCGTGGAAGAAGAGCGTGCATCGCGGCAGATACTGGACGACTAGTCGATCGAAAGACGGGGGGATGATATCTAAACGCACGATCCCCGAGCAACGGTGCAAGAATTGCCTTATCGCAATCAGACATGTTGATTACCTCGTGCCAGTTGTCGGTCATTGGTCCAGCCCATAGTGTCGATGTCGATTTGCTGGAGAACGGTGGTACTTGGCGTCGAATCGCCTCTTGCCACGATTGCCATCCATCGTTTCTCCTTCGCCAATTTTCGTTCGCTCGTTCCTCGAATTCTATCGATAGGGAGAAGGATGGAAGTTGGAATTTTTGGTTTAATTGGAGGAGGGGGGTTGCGAAGATGGAGCGAGTTTTGAGCGTGTTTCAATTTGGAAAATTTTGTTGTGAAATCTGAAGTAATTTTGATCAACGAAAATATTGAAAGTGAATTTTTCAAGTTTATGTTTATTTTTAACGATCAAAGGTTTTATTTAAGTTTATTCGATTGAACGATTCGGAAATGTTAAAGTTTTGAAGTGAAGGGGTTTCGAATGAAAGAAGAATTGAATTTAGAGTTGCAGCAGTAGGTAAGGAGAGGTAAAGGAAGAATAATTTACGTGACTTTTCTCTCGAAAAAGGTTATTCGTGACAAATAATCTTGAAATTAAATCCTGTATGATATTGGCCATTTATGAAAGAATATCATACGAATGGAATTCATTGAATCGAAGAGAGGAATAATTAAATTGTGAAAGAAAAATTAAAATGTATAATGAACAGATTTTTTTTTTTTTTTAATACATAAACGTATTAGCAAATTAGCAATACAAATCATTCTTCAAGGCGGTCTAGAAACATGTATTAATGGAAAAATATACTTTATTTTATTTTCAAGAATCCTCGAAGAATTTCTTTATGTAATATATGAGAATTATAACGTAAAGAATTTACAATTACACGAGGTTAGTTGTAAAAACGAGAAACGTGCGTGCCAGTGAAATTGGCAAACCGTGTAAAAACTTTATAAACAATCGTAAATCATAGTAAATGTTACGCCACAATTCACACAAATTCAGATTGCTTAATTCTATAATATTTTATATAAGGTATTAACTAAATAAATATGTCTGTAACGAGTAATAACAAGTTTCGTCAAGGGATGTAGCAAATTATCAGAGAATCGATTAAAGAAACGGCAAGGAGAAAGGAGGAAAAAGCATGGAAAATTTACAGAGACAAATTGTACAAATTTTACGACACGTGCGAGAGATGGAAAATTCATAAAAATCAATTTTAATTTATTATTCTATGTTCTTGGAAAAATTTATGCGAATCGCAAGTATAATAATATTTTGTAATAATAATTTTCAATTTCTAATACAATGAATTTCAAAAAATAAAAAAAAATTATTTACGAATGGAGGATACGATTTTCAAATTTCGCGCCACAGCTTCAATTTTGCAATTAAGAGACACTTTTAACTTATATTCAATTATTTTGAGAACGATACAGATTTTTAAATGATACGCTGAAGTACAATAATGTAATATTGAGACGGTTTTAAAATTAAATTAAACGATTTATTGTCACTTGTCACTTTCCCTATTTCCTATATATCCCTCGATATGTATAAAATAAATTTAGAATCGAAGGAGACTACATTAAAAAGCCACGTTAATATTAATTCACCACAATTCCCATTTTGTTATGTCGTAAAATCAACTAGTGTCAGCAATATCGTTTTGCATTGCAAATCGAACGATTCCCGGGTGAATTGTTACGTGCTGTTAATTTAAACGTTACGTATGAATATTGATGCATTTTAAGTTTACTTGAAGAAAGTCGTCGAAAGTCTTCGAAACTCGCCAATTCGGTAGAAACGCGATAAAAATTAAAAAAAAAAAAAGAACGACAAATTTCACAAAATTTTGATAGAAAGATCTATCACGTTTCTTGGAGAGAGAGAAAAATTACTGTACTTTCGAAAAATTACTGTACACCGGATCGAACGAACGAAAATTCATTCGTCCATTTAAAAAATTATATTTTTTTCTTTACCGTCGAGAATTAATTTTATTGGAAATTTGTTTGAAAAATTTCGGCAAACCCATAATGACAGTTTCTGTGAGAAACTCGTTCGATTGAAAGCGATTCGAATCGAAATCTGTGGAGGAGAGCACGCGTGCAATTATCCACATCGACGCCCGAATACTGATCTCGGTCTATTAACAAATAAGAAATTCCACAATGATCGCTTCGCTCGATCGTTAAAACCGGTGGTAACCGGTGGATCGAAATAATAATCACCAGAGTAAAAAGTTAATTGCGAAACGAAACGATCCACGTTTTAGATCGGCGTTCTTCCGCCATTGGCGCTGCGATCGGGAGGTAGGGGATGAAAAGAAAAAAGAGGGAAAACGTACGGTCAAACTGATTTCCGCGATTTTTACTTGCCGAGACGGCGAAAGTAAAAGATCGAAATCCTTCGATCCGTGACAAAATATGCGAGCAAAGTTGAACATTCGATCTTGATTACTACGTTTCGAGTCTTGTAAGTATCGTATTTCGTGATGAATTGCAACACGCCCGTCAATGTGGATTTTATTTCATTCTTTTTGTAATTTGTATCAACATCGTGAGATGTTTTCTTGAATTCTTCGAAAGAGAGTGTTGTATTTTTGTCTCAATCGAATCGAGGTGCCAAGTTTTATTGTTTGAAAATATTTGTTTCAATAACTCTTTTGTACGTATACGTATTAATAATAAATATTTATTTAATATCCTTAAGATTTAATTAATCGATTCGTTTAATAATTTCGATTTGAACCCAAAGAATTGTTGATAATTATTTTAATACTTCTTTTTTTGTTTTTATATTAAATTGTATTATAGTGGGCGCGTCTGACTGCAAACGATCCGTTTCTCCTTACTTAGAATCCTATCAGAATCCTATTTTACAGAAATAATAATTTGTGTTAAATTTTACATTGAATGCAAAATTGTTTCTTTATTTAATCAATTTCTAATATCGTTTCTAAAATATAAATGGAAATGAAAATTGTATCAAACAAATATTTTTCTTTTTCTTACAATATATCATTCATCTGACTACGAACGTTTCGTTTCCCCATTACCCATTTTCTTCACAAGAATAATAATAGAAAGATTTTTTAATTTTTACACAAAACATCGAATGCAAAGATAACAAGTAACAAAGAAACGATAGTAAATTCAGTAGTTTCTCTTATTATACTTTCGTTACTAGTATACAATTAAGAGAGAACATAGTCATAGTTCTTCGTCTGCTACTCAAGCATCGTCTGACTTCGTACAATCCACTTTCTCTTGTTCTTTTATACCCTATCCCTCCTTCGTACTTCTCTATAATTGCATTTCTGTATAAAATATTTAATCTTAATATTTTATCTTTTTTGAAATTTTCGTTTATATTATGCATTTTAATACAAATAAATTGTATGCTACTCATTAAATAATCCATTATTGATTAATTAATTATACGTACATGCGATACGTATATGTTAATCATCAGAAAGATCAGAGATTTTGAAGGGAAAAAAAACTTTCTTATGGATAATTATAAATTAATTGAAAAGAAAAATTAAAGAAAATTTAAATTTTTAAATTTTTAATTAAATCTCTGATCAATCTCGTGTCTTCTTAATTTGAAGAAGAATCAATAATTTTTCGTTCGAATTATTTCATTATTCGACTGTCGATTGAATTAATTTTTCATTTTATTTTCATGATTATTATATTTGAATGTTTTTTTAAGAAATTTTAAATTAAATTCTATTCTTTATTCTTATTTCAAATAAGAAATGTATCATTTAAAATTTGTTATTTATTTAGATAGATAAAGTAAGATCAAGTTTCAATGTTTTCAGACGATAGCAAGTTTTTTTTTTTAAAATTAATTTGAATTTATTATTAAATTTGAAAAAGTAATGAAAAAGTAATAAATAATTTAAAAAATGTATAATATGTAAGTATCAGAATACTAGTAGTTATTGTTACTTGGCGCTAGTGTCGCGTCATTATAATATTAAATAAAGTTGTAATGTTAGAAAGTGATTAAAAATTTTATAAAAATCTAAAAATATTCCTATCTTTTATATCCTGATATCTTTTAAGATTGTTATTTTTTTTTTTTTTTATACATATATTACAAAATTGTGAAATTTCTTAGAATTTTATTTTTATTTCTCAATCTATAAATCATACAACTTACAGGACAACCAAAAAAAATTTTTTAAATAGTTAATAAAAAATTCTTCTAATAATTGTAATTTGTAATTTGTTTATTTGGCACATTTTAACCTCGTATACATTACATTATAACGCATACATTAATTAACAATCAAATTATCCAAGAATCAAATTATCAGAAGAATGAAGAACCATTGAAAAACAGTAACACTTATTTTTTTGTACTTGTGAATCGACAAAAAAAAAAAAAAAAAAAGAAAAAGAAAACTGACAATTCTTATTTTCAAAGTGCAAATTGAACATACATTAAAATAAAATGAATTATCATTTTTGAACGTATAATAAAATTCAGATCTAAATCTTCTTGCACAATAATGTACTATAATGCTTCGTTAAACAGCTATTAATTCAATATAAAGAAATATTTGAATACAATTTCTAGAAAATCTTAAGTTTTGTTCTTTTCCATTGCATGGAATATGAATATTTGTAACGAGATCATAAAAGAAATGTTAATTAATAATATTAATGAAATAACTAAATTACAATTTTACAAAATTTTGCAAAATCACTTGAGACATACAATCAAATTCCTAATTATTCCAAATCTCAATTGTGAACCACAAAAGAGTTGCAAAATGATTTTTGGAACCATAATATTAATATAACATATTTCCATTAATTCAAATTCATAAAAAGTCATCATTTCAATTATTCAAAATTTGATACAATATTAATTTCTTAAAATTCACTTTCAAGATTTCATCAATTTAACCTGTTTAACTGTCTAATTTGTTTTATCATTATAGAAAAAAAAAATTATTAATTTATCAAATTCCATTAATGATATTAATAATATAATCCACAATCGTTCAAGAAGATTTTGATCCACGTTAAAATATCTATGATTCTGGGAAAAGTATCTCATAAGGGAACTGCAGCAGAATACTATTCGAAATATCAATGAATGTACTCGAGATGGCGCTCTCGATGACAGGTATTATTTCTTTTATAAAAGAGTCGAAATTACTATTGATAGCAACGTTGATAGCATCTCCAAGAACTGGATCACCACCGAAAAGATTGTCCAACTTCAAAGAGCCAGATCCAACGAAGATCTTGGTTTGAAGATCGATCATTTTTATGTAATTCTGATCATCCTTTCCCTTGATCATCTCCATTTGCATTTTCACAATTGCCTTGCAATTGTTGAACAGGCCACTTAAAGGTCCGTTTCCATGAATTCGTAGCAAGATTATTTGTCCATCCACGTCGTATTCCCCTTTTATGACGAGATTTGAAAAATCCAAATCGACTATGAAATTTAAAGTTTCTATGTTGCTTCTGTGAAAAATTAAAGAAAAAATTTTTGATTAGAAAGAATATTTGGAAATTTATTTCGTCAGAGTTTAGAATTTGATTAATCAAATCTCTCGATTGTAAAATTTGTTTTACAACTTCTCCACGTTTAGGCAAATATGTGTGATAATTAATTAACGGATAACAACATTCTGAGATAATTTCTTTTCTATGATAATGATCGTTAAAAAAATTGAACAATATCAAAGGTTACATTCTTGATGGAAAATTTTAAAAAATAATTGGTATCGATTTCTTCGAAAGATTTTTCGATAAAAATTCTTTGATTAATGATTCACCCGCCATTGACATTCATCGTTTCCGCTCAGATGGTTTCCGTGGGTTCCATATCTTTTTGCGATCCGCGTGTCACGTTCGCCATACAAATTATTTCTAACTAGAACCGCAAGAGTTCGTGTCATGGCCATTACCTCGTGCACACGTAGAATATTAAGCGATGGATCTCTTTATTTAAACTTTTTTTTTTGTCTATGAGTCACACGATCAATAATTAATTATCCATCACATTTCCAATTAACTTTTAAACTGTTAAACTAGCAGATCTTAAAATAGCAGAAGAATTGGATTAACTCAAACTACAATGTGATAATAAATAAAGTGTTTGTATAATTTTTCAATGATACCAGTTTGATAAAATTAGTTAATAATTAAAAAGAAGAATAGAAAAAAAATTTATTTCTAAATTGAAAATTAATAACTCTATATAAACAAATTGAAAAAAATTAAATAATCCTATCTCTGATATTAAAATTTCAAGTCGAATCAGTTTTTCGAATTCTCCTTCGAATTTCTTTATTTTGTCTTTAATCCATTAGAATGTCTTCATTTTTAAGTGTCGTTTCAAGAGAGGTCGTACGCTACATTGCTGTAACTCGTAACGCGTGTCATTATCCGTTTAATTTGTTATAATGACGAACTCATTTCTGTTTTACACGACACGTATTATGTAATCTCTTTTCTTTTTTTCTTTTTATTCAGTCTCTTTACGTGCTTTTTTTCACATCAAATTATCCCTTTAAAATACAATTTAATATTGAAATTAAATAATAATATTCATCGTTGAATATTGATTCGCAATTAATTTCAATAATTGAATATGATAAATCGACTATAAGGAATAATAAACGACGAATAATTAAAACTAAAAGATAATTATGCTAAAAGATTAAAAATTTTTGCAAATTTTATACCATCATATAAATAATGATCGCGATTTATCGTAATTCTAATGTATATGTACGTTTAATCTAATGGTGTTTTATTATGTTTAATTCATGGTATTTTTCTTGAATAATTTTAAACGGATACACTTAATGATCCTTATCATCGATTATTAGTTTTTCTTATATATTCATTATATAAGATATTTATATAAAATTTAATAATGCAATAAGGAACTAATGTTGCACGATAATTGAAAATTTTTTCATTAACGAAGAACGATAATATCCTTGCATCGAATGTATTGAAAAGGAAATCATTGCAGAATTCTTTATTTTGATTTTACTTAACGAAATAAAATCATTTCAATAGTTTTTAATTTGATATTACGATGTAAATTAACATTGGATATTTTAATGGTCAAGATCATTTCCTTTTATTTTAAGAAAAAAGAAAAAATGAAAAATAAAGTGACAAAGTGTGAATCATTCGAGGGATTTATTCAAGCGATTAACCATTTTAATCGACTTAATTTATAATCATATTCTGTCACTTCAAGTTACCTGAAACAATTTTACGGGGAATTCAAGGATTGGATTGATTAAATTAATAATAATGATCATTAAAAATTATGATGAACACAATATAATTTTGATTATATTTAAACAATTAAATTTCTCAGGATTCTAAATGAGCGAAGCACGGTTCTTTTACAAGAAAGTTTTACGAACGTATTGTTATTTAATTCGTTATTTAATTTTTCAAGATAGATTTAAATATTAAAAATGAAATTAAAGAACATAAATTTAAATTTTCTTTTAATTTTCTGCCGAAATTTTAAATATATAAAACATATATAAAATTATATCATTCTGAATATCAAAATTCCTTAAATTCGATAAATAAAAAATAAAAATTGAATTTAACTAAGATACTTTAGGGAAAGTTAATTCCCCCTCCTCAAAAAAAAAAATAACACGTAACATTGCTTTTTTTTTAGACATTTTTTTGACATTTAATTTGATCGATTTGTTTCTTGAAATATCGAATTTTATGTGAAATTAATTTTTTATAAATTTTTTTAACTTACTTCAACTTCGTTATCGTGAAATTACTCGCTCCATATGCATTAATGTTTTTCAGCTTCAATTTAATGTTTCCTCCACTCGTGGTTACCAACTCTTTCAACGAAAATGGTTCCAAAGGGGGTATGTTGTATTCGGGTAATCCCGTTTTTAAATACGGTTTAAGATGATTCACGCTGTTCGTTATGCATTTGCTCAAATTTGGATCGTTCCTCTTGCAAACGTGAATGAAATTGGCTGTAAGAAATTTTTCAAACGATTTAATAATGTTTGAAAAAAATTATAATTTGATTAAATCGAATTGTTTCGACAGATTTAACGAAACGAACATTGGCATTGAATATATTCTTTTTTCCATTTAATGCATTATTATAACATTTCATTTTTTAAAATTTAAAAATTGATTGCGATTATTTGATTTTTATTCTAATTGTTTGAATAAATATCTTTTATAATCTCAACAGTTTGAAGAAGAAATAACAAGCTTATCATAAATTAGTGTTTATAAATTCTTCAAATAACCAATGTTCATTTAAAATTAACATATATTTAAAAATACGTTTATTGCAATTGTTACTTGATGTACAATGATGATGAAGAGATATTAAATCAGATGATTTTCTTTCAATTATGACAAATTGTATAATAATCGAATTAAATGTCAATCAAATGTTCAATGGAAAAATTTGCTTGATTCGTGGAATAAAATGCAACAAAAATGTAAGCAAATAGAGAAAAAAAGATCATAAATTTTAAAGAATTAAAACTTAACTATCTTCTACATTTTTGAAATCTTTTTGATGCAAATGTTCTATCATTGAATGTATATGACGTAAATCGTTATCGGTATATTCAATTTCAATTCTTTTCTTCTGTTAAAACGAATAATATAAAAAAAAAAAATTATCATCTATATTGATTTGATCCCTTATTTCAATTATTCTACGTTAAATTTTCCCCCAAATAATTACAAAAAATTTTCTCTGAGCCAAAACCAACAAGAACTCGAAACATAGCAATGTATATTAATGTATATTTTCGAGATTATTGATTCTAATTAAAAACTCACTGAGAAACAGATGCAAAAAACAATAGCAAAAAAAAAAAAAAATTGAAAAAATGTCACTTACGCAAATCACGCGCGAAAACAGTGGCAAAAGCGATGACCACCAACGATCCGATTAGCGCGATCTTGTTCATCTCTTCTTCTTAAAAAATCAATATTTTCGAGAGGAATAAAATATTACAATCTCTAAAAACGAACAAGATTACGAATGTCAAGAGCAAAGTAGTCATTCATATGATCAGATAGTCGGTCTAGAAGTGAATACTGTTGTGGTTAGCCCCAAGTTCTTATAGTTCCACCTTTCTCCCCCTCTCTGACCAATTCTCTTCAGTTGTTGTTCGATGATATTTGCTCTACAGCATCCAGATCACGAATTCTGAGCATGTGATCGTGTCAAGACTTGTATCGTGATACGTCTCATTGTCTGAAATGTTATAATATAAAACGAAAATGTCGTGATATTGCGTGAAGATGATATGTATCTAAGGGTTGATTTCATCTAGGATGAAATACATGAGTTTTTAATGAGTTATTAAGTAAGAAGTTGAAAAAGTTTTCGCGCGTAATTATATAAAATTTCGACCAGCAATTTGAGATATCTATAGTCATTTGAAAGAATAATAACAATTGTCAATAAGATAATGGTAATTTTAATTTTCAATTTTTATAACACTGTGTCATAAGCGTCAACTCGATTATCTTTCTAATTGTTTGAAATACGATAAGATTAATTTTCTTCCCCCTCTCTTAGAGAAGTCTCTGTTGCAACTTCAAGTACTTCATTTTCCATTTCAATTTTATATAACTCGATCTTTGAAATACAAAAAAAGATCGTTAAAGCAATATCGTTTATTAACGAATACTTCTTTATGCATGAGATTAAAATACAAAACTGTAATCAATTATATTTTTATTTATCCTTCGATCGAAAAAAATAAGACGCAATAAGGAGCGTTTTATTTATCCTTCGATCGAAAAAGATAAAACGCAATAAGGAGCGTTTTATTTATCCTTCAATCAACCACCAAACAATAAAAAAATCTTGTTATGCCAATAATAAACTTACATTCATAAAAAGTGAACATGCTTGAGCGAAATTATTATAAAGAAATTTAAGCAGCGAGATTAATGAAGGCAGAAATGGTACCTTGACTCGTCCTTCGACGTCATCACGAGCCGATATCGTTTTCGTTTAATCGTCTGTTCCTTTCTTTAAAAAAAGGAACAGGAATAAACGAGCGAGTATATAGCACACGCAACCAGTGGAAAGAAAATACGCATTTGGAATAATAGATGCGATCGTATCTTCGTGGTTTTCAACGCGTATGCCATTTCGAGGAATTCGCCATTTTGATTCCTCCTCGTGGACAACGTTTGTGCTTCCTCGATTTGTGAATGCGTGACTCGTGCTTAATTCGGCAATATCATTGATATTTAATAACAGTTTTAAGATTATTTTTATCTTGGAATTTTAATTTAGGAATTAGGATTAAAAATTCGGCAAATATTTTTATCTCGATTCGTTTTTCGTGATGAAGTTGATTTTTATAATATCAATTATGCAAAAACTAGATTTTAAAAATGCCTTTTCGTTTATACAAGTACATATAGTATACAAATATTCAGATATCATAAGATTTACCATAAGTGTGGAAATATTGTTTAAGTTAAAATAAAAATGCAAATTCAAGGAATACATGTTTCGAAACATGAATTATTAATTAAGTTCTTATAAAGATCGGTAATATTATTTACATGTATTTATAATATTTATAATATTTTAAATATCGAAATATGATCATTAAAAAAAAAAAAAAAAGGAAAACTAGATGTATATTAATAAGAAAATTTAAAGATTTTTTTCACGCAATAATTCCTATATTTTATCTTCAGTTTTACAAATGCCATCAATCTTTTATTATAAAATATTGTTGAGTGAAAAAATTTAATGCAACATTAAAAATGTTGCTCCTTACAATTTAATTTTTTTTTTTCTGTTTTAACATTTTTATTTAATGCGATACATTAGCGAAGTAGATAAATAACCGTCATTCTGGAATGTCAATGTAAACTTGTGTCACGGCATTGAATTGCACGAAATAAAAAAATGATTGCTAACATCTGAAATATCAATCAATGAAATAAATTAATGGTCGAAATTTTCGAGTTGAATAAATATAATAAGTTAGTTATATTTCTAAATATAATGGATGTTGAAGGAAAAATGTAATTTTTATAATAATAATAATGATAATATATTAATATAATAATAATGATAATTGTTATTTAAAATTGCAATTTGTAATTATTTAAATTTGTAATTAAAAATCAAATTTGCTATTTGTGTTAATGATCGTTAGATATAAAAATTTAATGGTTTAAAATTGGAAAAATGAACTAGTTTTTGTTTCTTTGATAGTATGGAATTTTCTACTGCCTTGAATCGATTATATTCAAAGTTTATATTGTGCGCAGGATGCAAAAAATTAAGTGATTGCATGAATTATATGATCGATTATAGTTGAATAATAATGGAGAACAATCATGTTCATGAAATCCTCCGGAAACTTCAAAGTCGAAACGAATTAATTACCCTTCTTCTTCTTCCTCTTCTTCTTCTTCTTCTTCTTCTTCTTCTTCTTCTTCTTCTTCTTCTTCTTCTTCTTCTTCTTACTTTCTT